GGGAGAGGTGCCAAAGAGTTAAAATTTACAAATTTTCAAAATTTGTAAATTTTAACTCTTTGAGAGAGATTTACAAATTTTCAAAATTTTGTGCCCTTGAAGAGAATTACTAGATGCAGTAGATGGAAAAGTCCCATCTTCCACCAGCGTACAGTTATATTTAAAATATTATGTTATGCAAAGTTTTGTTCAAATCGTATAGTTGGTTCGCTTGATATCGTAGAATAAATGTTAAAAAAATATTGAATTTTGTGTGGGAGGTACCAAAAACACGGGGTCTAAAATTAATATTTCTATGAGGGACACTAGCCAAAAGTCTGAGGGTATAAATATCAAGAAATTAAAAATTGCTGCTATTAATTTAAGTCCTCTGTAAATCGGTAGATTTTGTTGAGTGAAAAATACTTTTGGTTAGTATATAGGAACCCACAAGTGCAAATTTTTTTATATTGAGTTCATTAACATAATATATTTATGTTATTGTTTGCATCTATTGCAGGGTAGTTTTAAGTTGATTTCATGCCTTCAATCAAATCATACTGGGTTAATTTTGGTATAACATATCCACCTTCAATAACTAGTCCTTGTGCTCATTTTTGTCCTTACTTTTTTGAACCATAAACTAAATACAACAGCACATTTTTTTCTGACTTATATATATTCCACAAAAATTCCCTCATATTCGCCCTGCTCCATACCTTATTTAATCCATCCGACCCATAACAATTGAATTTGCTTTCATCAGCAAAAATAATATCTTTCCAAAATGCAAAGTCCGGACTATATGGCGGATGCATTTAAACTTCCCAACCCAGCTCCGAAGTTTCTGGCGGTTCACTGTAGATGCGTGTGGCCTTACATTGTCCTGGTGGAAAACGACACCTCTCCTGTTGGCCAATTCTGACCGTTTATGGGCAATTGTAAATGGTTTAAAACAGTTTTATGGTCGATTTTTAGCTCCAATGCTATGTTACCACTGCTAACATGCTGGTCAACTTCGATCATTTCCCCGATTTTATCGACATTTTCGACGACAGTCATGCCTGTGCGAGGTGCATCTTTAACATCAACAAGTGAAAAAAGCGTTAAGTTCGGCCGGGCCGAACTTTGGATACCTTCCACCATAGGTATACTGACAGATACTTGAAATTTAAATATAGGGAAAATACCATAAAGTGAACCTATACCGATAATTCTACTAACGGATTTATGTACACCAAATAAAAAAAAATGTATGTACACCAAATAAAAATTCCTGCAATCTTTAATCGGGATTTTTCCTAAAATCTTAAAACCCCAAAGCGTAGACAGATACTAATAACGCACGGAAGAGTTTAAAATTCTCAAACTCCTGCAATTTAGATTGCAAACACAATCTAAATTGCATACACACCAAAAAGTGCACCGATATTGACGACGCATGGTAGGATGGAACATCCCCAAAATATTGCGATGTAGAGGTTACAGTTATATAAGGCCATCACCACAGGTTTTATATAGTTCATTCTCGATCATCACGTTCTAATTTTTTATCTCGATATCCTCCGCAGGTTTTAATATAAAAAATGTGGTTATATGGGGACTAACCCTAAAAGGGGGGCGAATATTAATAATTTTTGGGAGGGGGGCTTGTTACCGTATACGACTACAAAAAACCAAATTACAAAGAATTTGATTGAAACCCCCGTTTAAGAACCACAAAATACAGAAAATTGGGGGTACCCTTATATGGAGGCTACCCAATAAGAACTCGAAGTTCTGAATTACAACCAATTCGATCGAAAAATACGATCAGAATCCAAAAATTTGGGAATACCGTTATATGGGGACTACCAGATAAATGGACCTATATTTATAATTTTTAGTGGAGTAATTTAGTACCCAAAAAGAACCCAATGTACAAATTTTCAGCGAATTCAGTTATAAAACGCGCCCAAGAACCCCAAAATACCGAAAATTGTGGTTCCCCTATATGGGGCCTATCCGACAAAATGTATCTATATTTATAATTTTTACTAGGGAGATTTGCTACCCAATAAGAACTCAAAGTACCAAATTTCATCGAATACGGTCGAAAAATCCGATCAAAACCCAAAAAATACCGCAAAATTGGGGGTACCCTTATATGGGGGCTATCCGAAAAAATGAACCCATATTTATAAGACGACTATATGCAAAATTTTGGCGGTCTATCTCAATTCATTTAGACGCTAGAGTGAGTACAACAGACATACGGACATGCTTAAATCGTCATAGAATTTTACGCTAATCAAGAGCATATGTATATACGGACGGAAATGATTATTTCGATGCGTTACAAATGGAAAAACAAAACGAATATACCCTCCATACTATGGTGGAGGGTATACAAATTCCTGAATGGAATCTACGAAACCAAAACTGCACATAATTGGCTGTTAGAATTATTATTACATAACCTTCTAAAGCATTTACTATATTTGAATAACAAACTTTATTAAATTAAGTAGAGGCTAAATTAAGTAGAGGCTTGAAATGGTAATATACGATTTTTTTTAATTTTATCGCATTTATTATCGCCTTTACTTAATTTGTATTTATGAATATTATTCTTCCACCTTTTCAGAAACATTCGCCCAATGTGTCAAAGTAAACTCACGCAATTGTTGCACCTTAGCAAAACAGGGTTAAACGTCAACAAGCAGTAATAGAGAGAAACAACAAAAACACACACACACGCACGAACATACACCAAAGAAGGCGAAGAGCAAACAACAAACAGTATTTTCCCCATGCAACAAATACGGTGGCACCACACAGCCAGTCAGTCAGTCATTTCCGCAACCATCATCCATTGGCTTACTATGCCAATATCGTCGGGGGTTGTGTTTTGTGTGACTGTGTGTATGGCAGACATGTTGCAAGTATGAAAACAACAAACACGATAATGATGTTCCGGCCATGGCAAAGTAACAACGACGACGTCGGCTACAACGACAATGGTGATGATGATGGGAAACGCCGAAGTTGCTGCTGGTGTATTACTAAAACGATGGTTAGGCCAATACGAAAAATTCAGTCGAGTACGAACGAGCAAACGCGATGAACGTCTTTTCAGTGCAGTGAGAGAGAACGGTTTTGAATTTTGAATTTACCAAAAAAACAACACAAAATAGCAGAAAAAATACAACAATAAACTGTGCGTAACATAAAAAAGTTTTGAATTTGAAAATTGTGAAAACTTGAATTAAATTTTGAAAAGAAAATCTAAAGTGCCAAGAATTTTCCAAAAAAAAAAAAACGAAAACATAAAATTCCCACAGAAAATACAGTTTTTATCGAATTTCGTGTTTGTTGTTCTAAATTTTATCAAACTATTATCAATTACAACAAAATTACGCTAAATGCATTTCGTGTGTGGTGCGGGTCCCCCTTTATAAAAGGGTTTAGAATTTGAAGTTATCCAACTGTCTATTTGATTGATTGCGGAGGTGAAGTGGTGGTCGGTTGATTTTTTAAAACGGAAAAAACAAAGACAATTTGCCGGCCCAAAAATGCATGGTGGTGGTCTGGTTCCAAGTGACTTCCGATAAGCGGGAATAACAATAATAGTATTTGACAAAAAATCACCTGGCGGTATATGGCGACCATCATTGAAATATAAACAGAAAATAGTTCTGTGAGTGTATATTTTTTGCTGGAACCGATCCGTTTTTTGTGTCTGTGTGTGTTTTTTCGCCAAAGATCCAAACTATATAAACAATCCGTCGTGGTTATCATCTTGTGGTGCTGGACTACACCGTTTATAGACAAGAAACGTGTTTTAGGGCAAGCCTTTTGAGGCTGTCTGTTTGTGGTCTATCGTATTCACTCGTGTGTCGTTGTGTGCGTGCATGTTTGGGTTATTTTAATCGCTGTGCGGTGTATGGTGTTTAAACGTTTTCGTGAAGTTAATGCGCGCATTTTGTCGGCCTTTTGATCTTTCAAAGGCTTTTTTCCACCGATCAAAAGTAACATACAGCAACAACAACAAGAGAAACACCACCAACAACAACAGCCATCAAGAGAAGACAACAATCGTTCGAAGTGAACACAGAGCCAGGGAAGACAAGTTTTCTTCCATATGAACGAACGTATTGAAGAGGAAGAAACAGCAGTGAATGACTATGATGCCAATGAAGAGGGAATGATGGTGATGCTGATGATCTTACCTGTATGTGTGTGAATGTATGAAAGTGATCATATTTGTCCGCATGCCGTCGCTGGCCAACAACATTGTGTGAACAAGTGCTCACTCACACACATAGACACGGACACTCACACATGTGCATATACAAATGTTTTCATGGATGTCGGTAAAAATCTAAAAAAACGGATCCTCTAGATCTCTTTCATTCTTTTTACATAGCCGGCATTGAGCCAAAGTGATGTCCAGTTGTCCAGAAACAACAACAGCAACAACAAAACAGTTGTATACAAGAACAATAACCACCAACCACTGAACTTTTTTTTGTGAAAGAAACAAGAAAAATCTGTAGTAAAAATAAGAACAGGCTTCCGAGGAATAAGGCCATTAAAGCAATTAAAACAAACAGCAACAACAACAAAAATAACAATAAACCCAGATATGTGTCCAACTATTTAACAACAATAAAAAAACGGTAGCAAACCACAAAGTATTAAAGAAAGAAACCCACCAAAATTCTCTCAACAAAAAAACACCAAAAGAAATCTCAATACAAATCCGTTCGTTCGTTTTCAATAAATAAAAAAAAATATAAATTAATAAAATAACATACACAACTTAGTAATTTTTAATAATAAACAAATAACTAGTGCTAATAATTTATTTAAAAAAAGAAACAACAAAAACAAAACATATTTGCTTCCCAGTACTTAGAAAAACAAAAACCACAAATAAACACACCTAAAATTAGACTTTAGCAATTAATCAAAGCCAAAAAGTAGTCTACAATTTTCATTTAATTTATACTAAATATAAAATCGCAAAAAACCCCAAAATGCATCTTTTGTGCTTCATAACCATGGCCATGCTGGCCCTATGGCATTTACAACTCTCAACATGTGATGACATTACGCTAACCCAACAATCGACACAAACACAATCTGGAGGCTTACAACAATCGCAACAGAATCCAAATGGACCCGGTGTGATGAGTTCAAATACCCTAACGTCCGGACAAAATATAGGCTTAGTTAATAGTAATCATCAGCAACAACAGCAGCAGCAACAACACCATCAGCAACAGCAAACGCATACAAATCTTAATCAGCTGGCCGGTAACAGCTCTCTTCTCAATTCCCTTATGAATGCCAATGGAAACGTAAATGGTCTACAAGGCCTATCACCATCGTTAAGTGGCGTTCTAAGTTCCATGGGTAGTGGCGGTATTATTGGCCACTCCGGTGGTAGCTCTATGAGTTCTCATGGTCTTGGTGGTGGCATGGGTATGGGTGGTGGTGGCGGCGGAGGAGGTAGCAGCGGTGGTCATCATGGCCATGCCCTAGCCGGTTTGGCAAATTTAGGTATTATTGTGCCAGGGCATCGTCCGGGAATTACTACCAGCGATTCAGGAGGACGTTATGGTCCGCCCTATATGGGTGCAGGCAACATGGATGGAAATAGTATGCAACAAGGCGGAAGCAGCAGTAGTCTTGGCGGTTCACAATACTAGTAAGTACAATAAACAAATACGTTTTTTTATTTATTTTGAATGCGAACTGTTAGAAATAAGGAAAGTAATATGAAATAGGTATAAGTAAATCGATTTTCGACTAATCGACTTTTTGAATGGAAAAGTCTAAAATTCGAAGTTGACAAAAATCGAAAAGGCTAAAAGTCGACTTCTGCGCTCGACTACATATCCCTAATATGAAAATGTGAGATAATATGGAAATGTTACATAATAGGTTGGGGAAAAGAAATCCATTATTTTTTTCGGCTCATGTCTGTAGTGATAGATTTCTTGTAAAGTATCGATCAAAAAATTTCAGATTTATGTTCGTTGTAAGGGTGACATTTCGCAGTAAAAGAATTTTTTGCTTTTTTTTTTGTTTGGTGTATTCAGTTGTGATTTACAGGGTGTTAAAAATGGAAGTGAGCAAAGAGAAAATTCGGTACATTTTAAAGATTTTCTTTGACAAAGGCGAAAATGCAAGCCAAGTGGCTAAAATTGTGAATTTTGTTTATGGTTCCGATACTGTAACAGTTTAGATTTCGTAGATTCCTTTTAGGAATTTATGATGTTAAAGTTGCACCTTGCACCTTGCACAGGTAGGCCGGTCGTCGAAAATGTCGATAAAATCAGAGAAATCATCGATGTTGACCGGCATGTTAGCAGTCGTAACATCGCCCAGGAGCTAAAAATCGACCATAAAACTGTTTTAAACCATTTACAATTGACCAAAATTGGCCAATAGAAGAGTTGTCGTGTTCCACCGGGACAACGATTGGCCACACACATATTTAGTGACTCGCCAGAAACTTCAGGGCTTGGTCGGGAACCGATTATCATCTTTTTCTTCCATTGCAAAATTTCTTCAATGATAAATAATTGGTATCTACGGAGGATTGTGAAAATCGACGAATAGAGTTTTTGCAAGTTTTGAAGTTACCTTTAAAATGGCAACAAATCATACAATAAAACGGTGTATATTTGGCCCAAATCGGGCATTCCGAAGTATGTTAAATAAAGTCCTATATTTTGTATATATAATGGATTTTTTTCCCCCCAACCTATTATAACAACAGGGAGCTATTTGCATCGAAGAGTTTCATTCATAAATGAATTTCTTTGGATTTGATTAGTTTTCGAAATTGTTTTGTTTCAGGCTCATTGACGTGACAATTTTATAAACGTCTTTGAAGGCACTCGTGGCAACCGCTATCTTTGTTCCAAATTTCCATTTTTGACCACGACTGAATTCACGGGTTAATTCTATTTTATTTTTGTTATGTGGAAATTGGTTTTCAAATTCAAATAAATCTGCATAAAATCCACTCTCATGGCGTTGTGTTTTTTTCTAAAAACAATTCCCACAATTTTTAAATTTGAATCAATATTTATTTGTCGATCAGTTACATATTAAAAAAAATAAAACTTCATTATTTCCAGATTTTTTCCTTCCATTCACATTCAATATTTTAGTATACCCAGCGCATTTTAATATCAAATATTATTCACCCAAATTGAATAATGTCACTACTGCAAAATATATCCCCCGAGAATTCCATTTCCATTTTCTAATTATAATCTATTTGAATAGACACCATAGAATGTCAAGATATTTATGACTTGCAGGTCATAATAATAAAAAACATAAACAAACCCAAGTCAAAACAAAAAAAAATGTCATTCGATTTTTTTATGTTTATCCTGAAAATATTTGTAATTTGTTGGACAAAAAAACATTAATTTTTCTATTATGCATTGTAATGAATATTATATTTTCGTTACACCATAAAAATTATCCTTCCAACGCCCCCACAAACAGCTCAAAATGCGTTCTTGTTGATGGTGGCAGATGATGATGATGACGATAGCATGGCACAAGCCCCGGAACAAAAGCCTTACCAGAAATAATTTATATCCATTGGGGAATTTGGTTTTATGCGTTTTGAGTTCCAATTTTATTTATTTTGCTTTTTTTTTCTTTTTTGTTCTGCTCTTCGTCTATGTTACTGTTGAAGTTGCATTTTTATTACGGCGATTACTCACAAAAAAATGTTTAAACCGCAGCATTTCTTTCCACTTGTAAAGTCAACACCAAACAATACCCCCAAAAATACAACAACAATGGACATTAAACATCTCAAACTCTTGTGTTCTCTTTCTGTTACACTGGGCGAACAAATCATCAGCATCATCTTGCATCTATCGTTAATCACTCTCATCCCCGCACACACGCCTATTCAGGAAGGAAATAAGGGCAGGCAGGCAGCCCGGTTGGAAAACTCTTCAAATAATCAGAGATGGATGATTTGAATCTTTAAAAAATTTAGATGTTTTAGTTTTTAGACTTCATATTCTTGATAGAGGACCAGCTGGAAAATATAGATTAGCGGTGGTCATCATGGTCATGCCCTAGCCGGTTTGGCAAAATTAGGCATTATGATTTGCATTTTTAAAAAAATTAGATTTTTTAGTTTTTAGACTTCATATTCTTGATAGAAGATCAGCTGGAAAATATAAAATTAGTGGATTTTTCTAAATATACCATAGTTATTGCAGATCTTCTTGTATAGAGAACCTCGTGCGAGTCTTCTATGAATATAAGAACTTCTGAAGATTTTATATTTATAGTACCCTTCCTGTCGGTCTTCTATGGATTGATTAAATCCTGCAGTACTCTTATATGATTTCTATAGATATAAGATCTTCAGCGGCCCCTCTATTACTAGAAGACCTTCTGTAGGTCCGCTCTTGACAGAAGTTCTCTATGATAATTTTATAATTTGGGTATAAAAGAACTGCTGAGCCTGCTGTGGACAGAAAATCGCTAGAAGAATTTTATGATTTAAGGGCTTTTACACGGTCTGCAAGAACTACTGAAAGTATTCTATGGAGACAAAACCGACTTCAGGTCTTCTATAGACAGACAACCTCATTTCTATATGTCTTACATGGATAGAAGACACACTGTATGTCTTCTACAGATAGAAGAAGATCTCCTGTAGGTTTTTTATATATAGAAGACCTCCTGTAGGACATCTATAGATAGATGACCTTCTGTAAGTCTTCTAAACATAGAAGGCCTTTTGCAGATTTCCTATAGATAAAACACCTTCTGCAGGTCTTCTATTGATGTAAGCCCTTCAGCAGGTTTCCTATTGATTGAAGACGTTCTGGAGGTCTCCTATAGATTTAATAAGTATACCTTCTATAAATAGAAGACCTTCTGCAGGTTTTCTATAGATAGAAGACTTTCTGCAGTTATTCTATAGATAGAAGGCCTATCGGTATTCTCTGCGAGGAAAACCACCAGTACCCCTTCTATAAATTGATTTTGGTAGTTCTTCTGCGGGCATAAAACCTCCTGTAGAATTTCTATTCTACATCGCTTCTCTTGGGTCTTCACTGTACAAAATAGCACTTGTACGAATTTTATGCGTAGAAGGTGTGACGACCTATAGTTAAGACAATCTAGGCGAAATTTAGTAGCTTATCTACAGATCTTCTATAGATAGAAACTAGGTCTTTTATAAAAAGTTCGTTTGTGGGTATTCTTTTTAGAAGAACTTCTGCAGATCTCCTATTGATAGGAGACCTTCTGCAAGTCTTCTGGTGGCAGAAGACCTTCTGCAGGTTTCATATTGATAAAAGACTTTCTGCAGGTCTTCTATTAATTGAAGGACTTCTGCAAGTCCTCTATAGATAGAAGACGTTCTGCAGGTATCCTATTGATAGAAGACCTTCTACAGGTTTATGTATAGACGGAAGAAATAGAAGACTTTTAAACATTCTGTGGGTCTTATATATATAGGTGGGTCTTCTTAGGCCTTAATATCTTGTCCTGGTCATCTTACTGCAGATAGAAATATTAATTTATCTCTTTTTTTAAAAATACTAAATTCCCATCCCTGAGTAGCACGCCATAAGATGTAATCAAACATCAGCAGCAGCAACAACAACAAGTGCGATTTTGTTGTATTATTATCATGCGGTTGCGAGCCATATTGAGGGCGGAGTAGTTGTTGCTTGTGGTAATTTGCTTGTCATTGGTTGTGGTTGTTGCTGTTATTATTCATATTTTTGTTGTTGTCGAGTTTTTTTATTTAATATGAAAAGTGCACATAATTTACATATTACAATGGTAACAAACAAACAGCAACAACAACCACCAAAACTCCAAAGATGAGAGATGATGGTAAAGTCCAACATAGCGGCGCATAGTTATTTTTTCCGCATTCATTGTCCTCTTTACGACTTACGCACAGGTATCCCATTAGCCATTCATCCATCCATTGTGGTTGGATGCATAACTAAATGAATGAAAAAGCTAGTAGAGCAGCATTTTGTTTAAGGGTGGCGGCTGCTGGACGAAGTTAACGAGAATTCCAGTCATCCAGGCCTCTAAGGACATATGAATGAAATAAGGCACAGTGTTGTTGATGATTACAATCAAACACCATAACGCAGATTTTTTGTGTACACTTTACAACATTGTGTACTCCTTACAACATTCATTATACTGGGCCAAAGAATGAAATCAGTTTTTGATTTTTTATTACCGGCAGTTTGTCAATTGAGCGTATCCCTCGCCCCTTCTTCAATTACTGCAATATGCCATAATTATTAACAAATGCTTTGGGTTTAATAATTCATACACATTTTTTTGTTTGTTACTGATTTTTGTTATTTTTTATTGTTTTCTGAATCGTGTGTCATCGCTCTAGTATCTCAAATCTGTCGACAACGACGACAACGAGTCTCAGGGAAAAAATAGGATTAAATTTAACCAATGCCAAAAAGGTCTTGTCGTAAAATTTTTTTCTGCAAACTAAATTATTCCATCACATTGGAGTTGCCTTTGTTTGCTTCCAAAGCTCTGTGATATACTGTTATCTGAGTTGTGAATCAGCATCATTGTCATCGTTCAGGTCATGTGTGCAATAATGCTTCGTTCCAGCCAACATCAGCAGCTCCGCATCAATTGAATCATATGCACAAAATC